GTGTATGTGTGTGTGTGTGTATGTGTGTGTGTGTGTGTGTGTGTGTGTGTGTGTGTGTGTGTGTGTGTGTGTGCCAACCTCCACTTGGATGTACCGGAGCCCCTGCCCTTTCCACTCACCCCCTAACAGTTGAGTAGAGAGCAAGTGAATCGCAGAAGGAACGAGGCTGCCAGCTACCTGTTCAGCCCCTGTTCCAGAATTCTGGTCAAGTCACTCTCTTCTGAAGCTTCAGTTTCCTTGCAAGGCCTGACCCAGAGTGAGGGCTCAGAGACAGGTTGGCGAAAAAACCCCTGGGGTCCTCATGTTTAAAAAAAAAAAAAAAAGCCTTTGTCCCCATTCTGCTAAAGTCAGAGCACTCCAGAGCCAGCTTTGTGTGTCCAGCCCCAAGAACAGAGAGGCTTGGTCCCCTGTGCCCATCTCATTGTTTTCTCCAGTTCCCAATAAAGGGACACTGACAGCGGACATCTCTCTGAGGTCTCCTAGTCAAGTCTCCGGCATCCTGTGCACACGCTGAGCCCCATAGGTTTTATGGTCTTCTCGGAGGAGTCCCTCATCCTGTCTTGTGCTTAGGGAAGATGGAAAGGGGGAGCAGTCCGACCCCAACCTGCCTGCAAGGTCAGCTTCATTGCTACTGTGTCTGTGACCTGAGGCAGATGCCCAACCTTGCTGAATTTATCAACAAAATGGGTCCACAACCCTCTTTCAGAGTGGCTGCTGGGGGTATGCAGGTGTGAGAGCTGAGAGATTCCCCAACTTACCAGGAGTCTTCAACAGGCAGAGTTTGGATGGGACTGGACAGTCCTTAGCTGTGTGCACACCGTGGCCAGCTGTGCATGCAGGTGATAACGGAACACAATATCCTGCTGATATACCCAAACCAGAAAGAGAAAGAGAAACAGAAAGAGAAAGTGGAAGAGAAAGAGGAAGAGAAAGAGAGAGAAAGACCCACTTCTAAGGAACTTTCCACTCATACTACATGGGAAACTTGGTTGCTGGATGCTTCCCTCATCCCATGCTCCCAGCTGACCCACTCAGAGGAGTGACCTTATGCCCATCATTCTAGGTTCTTCTTGGTGGAGCCCATTTCAGAGGGGGGTCTCTGTGATCTGGAGGGAAAAGGCAGACTAGGGGACCTTCCACACTCCCTCCTGGGTTCTGTTCATGGCCCCCTTCCCCACCTGCAGCCTCAGCACCACCCCCACCTCCTTGGTCCTGTTGATGCAGACTGTGGTGCTGCTGAGGATGAGGTGCACAGCACGTGGACATCTGCTCTCCTGGGTTCTCCTTCCAGGAGCCCCTGCTTGGAATCATCATCAATCATATCCTTTCAGTGTAACAGAACCCCAAACCTTAGCAGGCCTCCAGACCTTAGCACAACTGACTCCATGATGGAAGTAGCATTCAGGCCTTAAAACAGCACATAGACAGTATCACCTGACAAAATGAATACAAAGTCCTAATCCATCAAAGTCCATGGTTCTCCCAGAAGTCTCTGAATGTGCTAACCTTGATTTTTAGCATCTGGAGATCTGCTCAGGGGTAACTGTTTTTGTTACCTGAAGAATGTCCACACAGGATATGGGTTTTGTGCTTCAAGCTCACCCTGAGAAAGGCTTAGGGCTACACTTCGATTCTGAATACTGGTGCACTTGTTAGCAGACTAACAAAGACTCTTTATTGGCTTAAACCCATGTCTGAATAGTCTTCTCTGGTGGAGACCCTACAACATTTCTGGAGATCCCTAGAGACACTGGGGGTCTCAGAGTGGGAAAGAGTGCATG